GGTTCTGGGTTCTATTAGTTCTGTCTTGTTTTCGTGTTTGGTGCCTGTTCTAGTCTTGCCTTGTTTCTGTACTGGATACATGCCTGCTGCAGAGTCCCCCTATCCAGTTCCTGGGAGGTCTGCATATCAAGCTCCTAGTTCCTGGATCCGCAGTAGCTGCATCAGGGTTCTGGTAGGTGACCGCGCAAACGCTGGTATTCAACATCAGAGGGCGTGTGGTTACCCTGCACCAGGCCCTGATAATCCACTTCCACGCTGGAGACTCACAACTTTTCATCAGGCACTCAGGGGTCCCGGTTTCCGTACCGCCACCCGTGACAGGAACTTTGAGAAAGGATTTAAAAATCGCCTTGTCTCCTCTCACTTTGAGTTGCACAATAATGATCCACGGCATTTATTTATGGGTATCACTAAATAATCCCTACATTGGAGAGGTGGAGACATTGTTAACAAATTGGGTAAAAAAGAGATGGAGTGGGTCTACTATTAAGACACACTGCACCCCAAAGGCTTAAATGCGGAATTTGATCTTTTTAATTTTTTACAGATGTATTTTTATATATTTTAATGAAGACTATTATCTATTTTTTTTTTTTTATTATTGTTTTTTAATAAAAGTTTTTTTATGTTTATATATAAATGTTTTTATATGTATATGCATATATAGATATATTTTATTATTATAGAGAGCAAAAAATGGGTCTCAAGAGTATTCTGAGAACGGACAGCAGCTAAAATAGCCTGCCCTTCGGTGGGTCCCCGCTCAGAACTCAAGCTGGTTTTAGCTCATCTTGTGCCATTACAGAGAGAACATATCTGAAGCATATCAGACTGGTCCCACCCATACGGGCAGTCCAGATCCAAAATGCCAGCAAGTTCTCTCTGCACGAGAGATACAGCAACCCCAGATGATCGTTTCAGCCTTGTTAGGCATCATCAGTGAGGCATAGCTGATATCTCTCTAGGCACCGTGAGCAAGGGGTCCACGTCTGGATTACCCTTTAAACTAATGGAGAGCAAAAAATGGGTCGCAAGAGTATTCTGAGAACGGACAGCAGCTAAAATAGCCTGCCCTTCGGTGGGTCCCCGCTCAGAACTCAAGCTGGTTTTAGCTCATCTTATGCCATTACAGAGAGAACATCTCTGAAACATATCAGACTGGTCCCACCCATACGGGCAGTCCAGATCTGAAATGCCAGCAGGCTATTTCAGCTGCTGTCCATTCTCAGTATTCTCTTGAGACCCATTTTTGACTCTCCACAAGTTTAAAGGGATAATCCAGACGTGGACCCCTTGCTCACGGTGCCTAGAAAGATATCAGCTATGCCTCACTGATGATGCTTAACAAGGCTGAAACGATCATCTGGGGTTGCTGTATCTCTCGTGCAGAGAGAACTTGCTGGCATTTTGGATCTGGACTGCCCGTATGGGTGGGACCAGTCTGATATGTTTCAGAGATGTTCTCTCTGTAATGGCACAAGATGAGCTAAAACCAGCTTGAGATCTGAGCGGGGACCCACCGAAGGGCAGGCTATTTCAGCTGCTGCCTGTCCTCAGTATTCTCTTGCGACCCATTTTTGACTATTTTATTATTATATTTTGATCATACAAATCTCCTTTCCTCTCCCATGGGGATTGCACTTATTCACTTTGTCACACATTTGTGTTTTGCTATTATCACTATGGTGCTGCAATTGGATTTTAAAGCTGGATGAGTATACTACCAGCAAATAATATTTTTGTAATATACTATGTATGTCAATGCGCTCTGTTTTTGAATTGCTATACATTGCATAGGACCAATTATCCTTTTTTAGTATATATTTATTATTACAAAATTTGTAATTTATTTATTTACTACCGATTAAATGATATATGCAAAGTATGCAAAGTTTGCCTGAGATATAAAGAAGTGGTTTGATATTTGTTCTTTTAAATTTCATCACTTTTGACTTTAGTATATAAGTATTTATTTCCATCCTGGTGAGGCCCAAGATTCTAATAATTCGATAGACTGATGGACAAACTCCTACAAAGCATCACTTGAAAAATACTACAGTTCCCATTTAGGATCGCGAGTTGCGCTACGTCACTTCCAGGTGACGCACGCAACCATGGGTGACTACAGCTATACTTGGACTACATGTCCCATCATTCTTGGAGTATCGCGATGCGCCACTTCCGGTCGACGCACGCGATTTGACGGAAGCAGGAAGTGTGTACACACCGGACTATTATGAACTCATTTGTGAGTACCTATATAATGTGGACAGGTATGCATATGGATCTATACTTCTGAAGAAGCCCAAGGCCGGGCGAAATGCGTTAAGTTTGGTCAGAGAGTGATTGGCAGCTTGTTATTGTTTTGTATGTAGATTTTAACTAATTTTGGAACAATAAAGACACAGCTTTTACCAATTCCTCTCTACCTGTTCCTGCTGCACACTTGAGTCCTGCTTATATCCTTTGGTGGGGATCATACCACCAAACACTTTCAACACCAGAGCAAGTCCCAGCTCTGGAAACTGTAAGTAGGACACCTACTGCTTTTTCTTACCCTATTTCTTACACTATTGGATTTTGTTTTCTGCTTTTGTTCTATATACATATACGGCTGAGGAGATTTGGACATCGTACCTTATTCCAGTATATACATCCCAAGACGGGGATTGTACCGTCCAGGCGATATACGGCAGAGCTCTTAGTAGCTCTGCAAAGTGTGAGTTAGCACTTTTACTGGCTCTCCTCCTACTATATATGTAATATTATTAATTGACATTCTGCACTATTATTGTTTTGTATTTTGTTCTTTTTAAGGGTATATGTACCATCTTATTATCGGAAAACCCTGTATGTATGTATATACATTTACTGCACTCTGTACACTTTAAATACGCTTGTGGCGTGGTATACCACTTTTGTTTTTACACTTTTCTGTTATAAATAGCAGGTATTGGTAAGTCCTGCTGGTTTACTGCTGCTTGATATTTAGTTATTTTAGTGAGCGCTTATACTTGTATTTGTTTCAAATCTAGTATCTCCTTTCTCTCCTTCTCAGCTATGTACAACCTGTCTAGGGGCATTTCCTTAGGAGCTTGTTCTTGATAAGCACGGATTCTCTCCAACAACGTAGAAGAAATAGTCATACGTGTAGCGGCTATGACATGTTCAGCAGGCACTATAGGTAGATCACCTTCTGGTCTCTCTTCTAATGTTTCAAATTGTCTAGATAAGGCACCAACCTTCTATTTGTGGTAACCAGGTCTGTATGTAATTATGTAATTAAACCACAAAAGTAAAAGAGACCAGCGAGCTTTACATGCAGACAGCCTTTTAGCCTCTGAAATGTATGAAAGGTTCTTATCATCCGTTATTACTGAAACAGGATCTTTGGTGCCCTCTAACAAGCCTCTCCATTCTTTGAATGCGAATACAATGGCCAACAATTCTCTATTACCAGTTTCCTAGTTTCTTGAGAAGAAACAACATGGATGTAGATGTTGGTCCAGAGCGGTTCTTTGGGATAATATAGTCCCAATACCATTTTCTGAACGGTTTGGAAAGATCAGGATGAGTCAAGACAGGGGCTGTGGAAAAAACTGCCTTAAGTTTCTCCACAGCTGTTAGAGCCTCAGGAGTCCAAATTAGAGTATTGACTCCTTTTTTAATCATATTGGTTAAAGGTGTTATAATGAAAGAAAAGTTGTGTATAAACAAATAGTTAGAAAACCCAATAAAATGTTGTATAACCTTAAGACCTTGTGGAACGGACCAAGTAATAAGCCTTAAGTTTGGAGGGATCCTTGGAAAAAACAGATTCTTAAATGACATAGCCCAGAAAAGAACATTTTCAAATTTGCAAAACAAACCGTATTCTAAAAACATAGTAAGGACCAGTCGGACGTGTTTGTAATGCGGCTCAAGATCAGGTGAATGTACAAGAATGTTATCCAGAACAACAACGCATATAGGTGACAACTCTCTTAATGCGTAATTGATGAGATCCTGGAAGACAGCCAGGGCATAACACAACCCAAAAGGAATAACCAAGTACTCATAATACACACTACTGGTGTTAAAGGCGGTCTTCCACTCAACTCACGCTTGCAGGACTTCTCGCGGCGGCTACCTTCCTATGGAACAGCCTGCCTACCGCCATCAAACTCTCCCCTAGTCTTCAATTGTTTAAGAAGTGCCTTAAAACCCATCTCTTTAGGAAAGCTTATGGCCTCCAAGAGTTACCTCTACCTCACATACCTGTCTCTTTCTCTCTCCTAAAGGGCAGCACTCTGCTCTCTCCTCCAGCTCTGCTTCACTCCCACCTTGTTTGATTGCTATTTCCTGTCCTATTGTGTTTTATACCCCACCTCCTATAGACTGTAAGCTCGTTTGAGCAGGGTCCTCTTCAACCTTTCATTCCTGTAAGTTTTCTTGTAATTGTCCTATTTATAGCTAAATCCCCCCTCTTATAATATTGTACAGCGCTACGGAATCTGTTAGCACTATATAAATGGCAATAATAAGGAAGATTTTATACCTCTCTATAGTTAGATTGGGGTCATATTAACATTATAGGGTTTTATTTTTTATTTTAGTTTTTACTGTGGCAGCTGTTTAGCAAGCACTGGCCAGTTGACACTCACTTAACCCTCGCACGGCTAAAGGTTTATTTTAATATTGTCCGCTGGCTACTAGCGCAGCCACTGGGCAAATAATTCAGACTTTTAAAGTACGGCAACAAATCATAGCAGTGCCGGTCCATATTTTAACATTTGGATCAGGATTTCAGCCATTGAGTCAGGCTGATAGCCAGATCCGATTCAGACTCATTCATAGGCTGTTCTGCAAATACTATGAACAAAACCCAATAGTTTTATCTGATTCAGTACAGGGCTATTCGGACTATACTGGATAACCGCCTGTGTGTTCTCATTCACTATTAGGCGAATGAGCCTGATCTGCATGGCCTTAAGAGAGGTCTGTAGCTGGCGGACCTGTTCTCAAATGCCAGTCTGGTTTTGCGAGAGCGAGGTGATGTCCTCCTCTGTTGCCCTGACTCTATCTGTGACCGCCATCACCTCCTCTTGGATCACCGCCAGATCACCCCAAAAGAAGACCCAGATGTTGACCATAAGGTCCATAATGTCTCCTTTGGTGGCCAGGGCCCTGGGTGTAAGTGAGAGGTTAATTGTTCTGCCTCAGGTATAGGGTGAGGAGCATCTTACAGCTCATCCTCGGAGGATGAAGAACTGGAGTTGTCAGGTGGCACCACCTTCTGAGGCCTAGGCCGCGTGCGGAAGAGTTCACAGATACTTCGATTTCCGTCTCCTGAGTGCATTTTAAGTCTCTTGGAGTGTTTCCCCATGTCATCCCCGATATCAGGGACACATTGGTCTGTTTGTGGTAAGTTTTGCGGGGCAGTTTAGGTTTGTAGTCGAGTTATCACCGGAGCTCTGGAGACAGGCTACTGCTCTTGGCTCCGATCAAGCCACGCCCTCTTTGTTTCTGTTTTACTTTACCTTCTTTAAGAGGTTTTGGGTTATTTGTTATGGTAACTACTTATTATTATTATTATTCTTGTCTCTCTTTTTGGGTTCTTCAGTAGATCAAATTTTTCAGATTTAGCCCCTTTCTTTGTCTAATTTATATTTTATCCTTCGCCCTTTACTTTTATACAAGTTAATAAAGCAGGAAAAAGATAGGCAGATAAAAAGGGAAGGAAAAGGCAGCAGTCAGCTAAAACACACTACAATGCACAAATGTTGCTCTCCAAAATTACCCTAATATTCTATTGGGTCTATAATTTACTGCGTGTGGGGGAGGATGGTCACTGTGTGTTTGAGGGAGTGTACTGTATCTGGGGATGCAATGTGTGTGGGTAGTGTACTGAATGTGGGGGAGGATGGTCACTGTGTGTTTGAGGGAGTGTACTGTATCTGGGGATGCAATGTGTGTGGGTAGCGTACTGCGTGTGGGGGAGGATGGTCACTGTGTGTTTGAGGGAGTGTACTGTATCTGGGGATGCAATGTGTGTGGTAGTGTACTGTGTGTTAGGAGAGGATGGTCACGGTGTGTTTGAGGGAGTACTGTATCTGGGTGGTGCAATGTGTGTGGTAATGTACTCTGTGTGAGGAGAGGATGGTCACTGTATTTGAGGGTGTGTACTGTGTCTGGGGATGCAATATGTGTGAGGAGAGGATGGTCAGTGTGTGTTTGAGGGAATGTACTGTATCTGGGAATGTACTGTATCTGGGGATGCAATGTATGTGGTAGTGTATTGTGTGTGAGGGGAGGATGGTCACTGTGTGTTTGAGGGAGTGTACTGTATCTGGGGGATGCAATGTGTGTGTTAGTGTATTGTGTGTGTGGGGGTAGGATGGTCACTGTGTGTCACCCTTTGTCTAGGGAGCTCTCGGTCCCAGAACAGTCAGGGCACTTCTTTGGAGGAGTAACAGAGGAGGTGGCGAGGCATCCAAAGAGACCAAGGACTTGAGGGAACTCCATGTACTGACTGAAGAGCCATCATTTAAGGTGACCGGAAAACTCTTCCCGGCCTCACGGAACCCCACGTCGGATCGGAGGCTAGCTGCAACCCGCTGAAACTTTGAATTCCACCCAACTCAGGCCAGCCACATCCGATCCGGGCGCTTTTTGGACACTCTGTGGGCACTCTGATCCAAGCTTCCTGGGGACACCAGTTGTCTGGGAGGTGGGCACGGGAACTTAGGTTATATTGTATTTTTGTGCCACGGTGCCAAGGGTCTGGCCACTAATTAAATTACCTGCTCATGTACAGACACAAAAGTGCCAGGAATGTCGCAATTCTATTGTTCTCCCTGGAGTCCCCCTGCTGAGACTGTAACAATCCCCATGTACTTCATATAGTACGTTCGTTTGCACTCTCCCGAACTCCTGTAAGGTCGTGTGAATTATAGCTCTTGTGTAACGTATGAAAATCCAGCCAGGTTGTGTGAAATATAGCTCTTCGTTGTTCGCATATCCAAACATCAGTTGAGGAATGTTTTATTATGGCCAGATGGCCCACTTTTATACACACACCCCCAGCAGTGGGTCTCCAGCAAAACATAGGTAAAACAGGCCCAGGCGTCTCTGTGTCTGGGAGATAAGTAAGTTTACTTTCGGGAGTCCCAAAACGAGCAAAATACCAAACAGTTCCCCTGGCTCATAGGCAGCGATTGTTCGTCTTGTTTATGCGTACCTTTCCACCGAACAGTGCTCTCTTCGTTTGTCGGGAACAGAAGCAGGTGGCACTACAAAATCACTGAGGTTCGCGAGTTAGAGTATCCATCTTAAAGTTTCAAACACTCAACGACCAAGTACCACTACCTGTGTTCGGGAGACAAGATGGCTGCTGTTTTCCAAAGCATGTGTCTTTCAATTATACGAACGGTGGCCGCCCAGAGAGAGCACTTAAATTTGTGGTTACTTTGAAGATAATAAGCCAGCTGGTGGTCTACGTTCTGTAGATAGAACTACCGAATCCAAGGGAAAATAACTTGGGCTAGTAAAAAAAATAAATACAGGGTTTCAGGGTAGTTTGTCACATTGCCCCCCCCCCAGTTCCATGGTGCGGCATACCCGCCTAGACCCAGACGGGTTGGCTTAGGAATTCCTGGGAGCATGAATTAGGGCTCCAGTTCCATTTGTTGGGTTAACCCATCCGCGTTTCTATTATGTTTGCCTGGTCTGTTCTGCATGGTAAAGTGATATGGTTGGAGGGCCAGCGCAGAAGGCGGGGGGTTATTTACGGCTACCCAGTTTAATCAGATGAGGGGGTTGTGGTCAGTCATTAGGGTGAACGGACGTCCATAGAGATAGGGCTGCAGTTTCTTTAATGCCCATACAAGGGTCAAGCACTCTTTCTCCACACTGGCGTAGCTGATCTCTCAGGGTAAAAGTTTTCAGCTGAGATATGCCACCAGGTGTTCCATTCCTTCATCCCCCACCTGGCTTACCATGGCTCCCAGCCCAAACATGGAGGCATCGGTGTGGATGAGAAACTTTTTAGTACGATTCGGGTGGCCAACACAGGTGCTTCTCTTAACACGGCTTTAACTTTTGTTAGGCAACCTAGCACTCAGGGACCAGACTACTTGTCTGGGAAGGGACTTCTTGGTAAGGTAAGTGAGGTGTTTGGCCAGGGCGCAGTACTCAGGGACAAATTTGCGGTAGTAGCCGGTTGTCCCTAGAAAAGCTAGTACCTGGGTCTGGATACAGTTTTGTGGCCAGTTCGCAATAGCCTCTACTTTGACTGCTTTAGGCCGTTGGTGGCCAGAGCCCACTCTATGGCAGAGATACTGTACCTCGGCCATACCGACATGGCACTTGTCAGGCTTCACTGCCCGAAATCTCTCAAGTACCATAGATATGTGTTGGAGGTGGTCCTCCTATGTGAGGCTGTAGATTGTTAGGTTATCTAGATATGCACATGCAAAGTCCTGAAGTCCCTCCAAGAGCTGGTCCGCCATTCGCTGAAACGTATCCGGGGCATTCTTCATCCCGAATGGTATAAACTTAATCTGGTAGAGCCCGAATGGGGTGACAAATGCAGACTTGGTAATGACTTCTGGTTCGAGTGGGATTTGCCAATAACTCTTACACAAATCTATTGCAGTCAAGTAACCCCTCACCCCCAATCATACGATATAGCAGCTTGTCTATCCGGGGCATGGGGTAGGCATCAGTGACCATCCTGTCGTTTCCAGTAGTCGATACAAAAGCAAGTTGTACCCTATGATGTAGGTAGTGTTGCTTATGTGTTCAACTAGCCAGAATGGCCCATGCTAGGCTGCCTGAAGCTTGTCCTCTTTTGTCAGCTAGGAATCCTAGTTCTAATCAGGTCGGGATCGCAGATTCTCCCTGACAGAATTAGTGAGAGCCTGGAGGTGGTCCCTCAACTCCAGGACCTAGAGAATAAGGATTCCTCCCTCTCCTATGTCACCCTCCCAGTGCTCCCATATGAGGTCTAGGGGTCCTCATAATTTTCTCCCGTATAGGAGTTCAAAGGGGGAGAACCCTGTAGACTCTTGGGGCACTTTGCAGTAGGCAAACAGGAGGTAGGAAAGGAACCTTTCCCAGTGCTGACATGAGGCTGTAAACGTTTTGAGCATCTGCTTCAGTGTGCCATTGAAACGTTCACAAAGTCCATTCGTCTGGGGGTGGAGGGTCACAAAAAAAGAAGTGAAAAAAAAGTCTGGTCCCGTACCTTACAACTACGTCCTGGGCCTTACACATCTTGTGTAACTGTGCACCTACACACTGGCTCTATTCTTCTCACAAATAGTCCCAAGATTTTAGGATAAATCACCAAGTGAAAAAAATCTAAAAACAAATTATTTTGTCAGACCCAGAATTAAAGAACTAGAGACCAGGATCAACTCAGTGAGAGCTCCATCTGTCTAGCGAGAATATATATACTATCCACACCAGGATTGGTTTCTGGCTGATAAAGACCCTAGAATTGGTCAGATCATCAGATCAGTCCAGAATTGGAACGACAAGTTTATTGGAATTACTTTTTGAAGACCTAGAAGTAGGGACCCCATCCTGTCAGACCATTATCATGCCATCACCATGGCATACAATCTTCTTATTGTAGAGAGACATTGGAATCCTCAGTGCCCACAGGATTTTAGACATGATCTACGTGATCTGTGATGTACAGCTTTTACCAATTCCAGCAGAGCATGTTATTTAGGACATGGGGCCTAATAACACACCATGGCCCATGTTATCTCCTAAGTAAGCCGATCAGGCAGTACCCCTCATGGCATATAAAAAACGATGAGGCCCTGGCAGAGACCTGGAAGACTTCCTCGCAGTACAGAGATTAGAGAGACACACACAGCACTATTAACCTATCTTAAAGGTGTGAGTAACACATTGCCTTACAATGCATTATTTCTACCTACCTCTGAATTAAATCATTTGCTATAAAGATAACCAAACTATGGGTTCTGTTATAGTTCATAGTCACAGATATGGTAAACCCCCCAAATAAATGTAAAAAAAACAATGTTTATTACAGACATAACATAAAACGTTACACTGCGTATGAGGTTGCACCTGGCACTCAATTTGATGCCAGCCTGGAGAGTACGCACTGCGTGCCATCACCAGACTGACACTGGATGAAAACCTTAGAACAGAATAGTTGTGTACATTTAAATTTGATTCTTCGAGCTCAATCACATTAAAGATCGTAAAGGTCAGCACCATAGTTAATGAAGTCCATACCATGACAGTACCAAGCTTGGCACTAAGTGGTACACAGAGGATCATCACATTGTATACAACAAGGAGGTCATAAGAAATATGTTACAGACTGCAACTCCCATTGGTTGGTCATTAGGTCATGAACACCAGTCTCTTTCGATTCCTTTATTAGCACAGAAATGTCCTCAGGTTTGGACAGCTCACTGGGAAGTGGTGTTTATTTCTTGCAATTTCCTTTAGATCATCCACTGGTCCTGGTCCTGCTCGGCTCCTTCCATGTCAGCCTGGCAACAGAGATAAATAGGTAATTGGTCGCTGGGATACAATGTGACTAGTGAGCATGAAAACTGTCTGATCACAAAAACGAGGCACAAACCAAAAGATTCAGATCCTTCCATACCAAAAGAAGTGGTCAAGGTGTGATTTCATAAAAAGTCAACCACAAGACAAAAAAAGTAAATGAATTAGGCAAAAACATAATTTTCATTAAAACAATACATTTGTTACATTCATTTTAGTCACAATAAGATTTCAAAAATGTACCGAAGCCCAAAAATGGTAATGGTCGTAATTTCTAATAAATAGTATAAAACAGCTGAAGTGGTCTGGGTGCCTAGAGTGGTCCTTTAAAACAATACATTTGTTACATTCATTTTAGTCACAATAAGATTTCAAAAATGTACCGAAGCCCAAAAATGGTAATGGTCGTAATTTCTAATAAATAGTATAAAACAGTGATGAAAAGAAAAGTACATCCAACGTCCTATAAGTTATATTGAAAAGGTTTTCTAAAATTTTTACCACAATAAGCCAGGATAGTCACAGAAATAGGGAATGGCTGTACCTCACAACCAATTCCTCTTATGACACCATGGTTTCTATAGCAAAAATACTAGACTTGTCACCAAGGTCCCTGCTAGGTAGCTAAAAGACCAGGCCCTCCTCCTGCGTGATGATTTAAACCCCTCCCAAACGCTTACAATCGTCATATTGTGTTTTACTGATCACAATAAGACCCCACGGGGTATATTCACTAAGCCCTGAAATCTGAACGGATACATTTAGCCATAATAGTGGTGCTAGATAAATCCTAAAACTCTGCTCTTTTCAGTACAGCGTTTTAATGTTGGTTTTCAATTTACTATAATCTGTTGTTTAGTGAGTGACTGTGAATTAACACTATTTAGGGGTCATTTCACATGTGGAGAGCATGATATCACTATATATCACCACAGACCGGCTTATCCTGACATACATTTACACCAGTGGTAGTTCTGGCGGCAAATTTCAAGTTTTAGTCAGTGTTTTGACTAAAAAAAAGTCATTTTAGGTTTAGTCCTATTGTAGTCGTCTGAATTGTTTTACTTTTAGTCGACTAAATCTCCAGTAGATTTTAGTCGACATGACTAAAATCTGATGGGTTAAATTAAAGCCTCTGTCCGTTTTACCCCAGCCCCTCTGAGTTTCTTTGTATTGCCCCAGCCTCTCATGAGTCTCATTCCCTCAGCCCCCAATGTGTCTAATTTCTTCTCCTCCCTCCGCCATGTGTCTCATTTCTTCTCCTCCCTCCGCCATGTGTCACATTTCTTCTCCTCCCTCCCCCATGTGTCTCATTTCTTCTCCTCCCTCCCCAATGTGTCTCATTTCTTCTCATGGCCCCTGGGATGTATTGTCTGCTCTCCTGTACTGCTGAGGTTTGCAACCAACTAGGTGGGTTGGTCATAACACCCACTACCACCCCACAAATAGATGTACGCAAACTGTCACTTCACAAATCAAAAACAAATCACTTTAGCAGATTCAAAAAAAAAAAAGGAGAAAATACACTAACATTAGATCCATGAGCCACAGGTCCAAGTATAGTCCACCTGCTTATTTTCACTGAGAGTGTATTAAACTGGCCTTCATTACACAGATATATCAATGCATTAAAGTAGTATTGGTTTCTGGAGGGTCCCTTTAATTACTCAGGTTTAAGGTATTAAAGTTTTATTAATGTCGGAGTGTCCCTTTAATTACCCAGGTTTAAGGTATTAAAGTTGTATTAATGTCGGAGTGTCCATTTAATTACCCAGGTTTAATGTAGTAACGTTGTATTAATGTCGGAGTGTCCCTTTAATTACCCAGGTTTAAGGTATTAAAGTTGTATTAATGTCGGAGTGTCCCTTTAATTACCCAGGTTTAATGTATTAACGTTGTATTAATGTCGGAGTGTCCATTTAATTACCCAGGTTTAATGTATTAACGTTGTATTAATGTCGGAGTGTCCCTTTAATTACCCAGGTTTAATGTGTTACAAACCATAAATCCTACATATTGTACAAAGCTGTGACTCCCAAACATCTGGCATAAACCCTAGGTAACATATGGCTGGACTGTTTCACTACACATATCAGTCCGCTGATATCTTGCTGTATGAAGGAGGGGGTTCACAAAGGACACAGCAACCAATATGAAGGGTAAGCACTTCTGTGATGTCAGAGCCCAAACCAGATCCAGTCACATGATCAGCACGCAAGCGTTGTAAGAGGATCTGCATTTCTTAAAGGTGCAGTAACAAAGTTTCTTACTCAGGGCTGGCAAGTCAGTCAGATGTAAAACAGACCCGGGGATTTTCAGCAACACATTTGGGGCGCTAGCCTGGGTCAGTGCTTTAATCTCCTCTCTCCATCTAATATTCACTAAAGTGAGAATTCTAAGTGAATTTCATATACAAGGCCAGAGTAATCAAACTGGAAGCATAACAGACTTAGAGACCTTTTCTAGCTTGGCTATTTTGACCTTAAATTTGAAATTCACTTTGATTTCACAATGAATTCTCACGTTAATGAATAACGCTGTTACTTTCTATTTTGGTGTGAATGGGCCGTAGGGGACAGTTCTAGTCTATTGATATTGGGAATGGCTATATCTCTAACTCATTTTAGTTGGGTTACTATCCTGATTTGTAGTATGAAAGGGCCACCTTGTGGTGGAATTTTAGAAGACAGTTTCAATATAATTTATAGGCAATTATTATTAATTTTATTGCCATTCATATAGCGCCAACAGATTCCTTAGCGCTTTTCTCTGCTATCACAGTTTAGAAATCTTGGGGAAAAATTACAACCAGTACCATTTTTTTAAATCTTATTGTGACTAAATTTAGTGTTACAAATGTACAGTTTTAAAGGAATATTAAAAGTTATGTTTTAGGCTGGTTAGAGTAGTGGTAGTTCCTGCTTTAGAACCGGGAAACCCAGGTTGTCTGAAAATATGTTGGGGTTACATGAAACAATGCTAGGCTAATTCATTTTATTTTGTTTAGATTCCTCTCTGTCCGAATTAGCTATCGACAAAAAATTCCACAACATTGTTATCTCAGAGCGGAGTTTGGTTCAGTTTACCAGATGTCAATATAGAACAGATAAAAAAATCCAGCAGTGGGACTTATTCACTTAACAACGAAATGTAATGAATTTAAAACCAATTGGCAAAACTAAGGCAAAAAGTGCCAATTTAGAACGATTGTCTGATCAGTAAATAAACACAGTGCGTTTAATGTGTCATTAACAGTCAGCAAGGCAATATTTTGCCATGATAAGATCACATGTCAAAATGTTCTCCTGACAGTATGTAATAGCGTGTCACTAAGGACCAAGAGTACCAGATTTTTTTTCCCTTTTCACAAAAAAATAAACTTTCCAAGAACGACAGTAACTTTTAGCTGTGTGTGTAAAATTCTGCACACTCGCCATGTGGCTAATCCATCCAGCTCCTATCATTGCCGTTTAATCAAACTACTTTACAGGGGCCGAAATAACATGCGGTCATTGGAATCTGGTGAAACAAATACCAGAGAAAAGATCTGGCACTCACAATGTTCCAGGACGGCTCTTTACGGGGGACACACAAACCAAACAACGTTTCAGCACAGACAGACGATTTGTCCCGGATCTAAGGTATCAGGTATTTACTGTGTCATTGAAGTGCAAAGCTCTGGATTCTACAGAACCACAATTAATTGTGTTCCAACCCAGTCTGGTGAGAGAGTGGTAGAAATGTCCTGAAACTCACCTCTATCTCCCCATCATCAGGAGACTCATTATAATCATTCATTTCATCCATGTCCTGCATGTCTTCATCATCTTCTGAGTCTTCTTCACTATCTTCATCATCCTCGTCATCTTCCTCTTCATCCTCGTCATAAGGCTAAGGAAAAAAAAATAATAATCACAGACGGCAATAGTGAGGCTGGGAACCCTCCGCGCGATCACAATGTATCTAGAAGACGAGTCATTCCAGCCACACGAGACAAGACTCCCTGCTCAATGTTAGCTCATGTCTAGAGGAGGTAAAATCTGTTTTGTTGAAAACTATCTGGAAAGGCCCAGAAACGGATCATATCTAAAACATCGAAGGATTCATTCATGGTTTAGCATAATGCGTCTCGCCCATACTTAATATAAAAATCCACAAAAACTAAGCACTTTATTTTCCTTTTGTTTTTGGTCACATGACATGAATCTCATTTGTTATAATTTATTATGTAATGCTTTAATGATTTGCATAATATGTTTACTTATCCCTATATTTAACAATATGTAATTGAGAGGTGTGGAAAATCAAATTAAATATAGAAATCCAACCCTCCTTATCCTGGAACGGATTGCTCTGACTTTGCCATAACTGACCCATTACAACCAAACCGCTAAGGAAGAAATATTTTAAAAAATTTTGCCGCCATAATTCCTCCTAGGCTCCTCCCACTCTGTAGCCACACATTAAGCGCACATTGCTTCTGCTCAGGGAGAAAGAAAATAATATATCTTTCATAGAGACTGAGAATGGATGTAAATGGATATAAGCTGCCACATTTCCACCAATTCAAGCGAACGTTCATACCTCAGATGCCGGCTTGCCGATGGGAACCAAACTGTTGTCCTTCTCAGCTATGCTCTGGAGCTGAAAGATAAAAACATATTTTAGATTAAGCATTAACAATATTGTATGTGTGGGTGGAGGGTAAATAGCCAGGGTTTTACAAATAACACGGCAGCTCTGGTTTGGATAATCCCAGAATGGTGAATGGGTAACAGGCCTTAACAAGTTATGTGAAAACACACCCTACAAGTGTAACACTGCCAGTTTGTATCAGGTGAGGGTTGCAGAGCAGCAAGCTCCTCCCCCAGCGCAGTTTGAACATTAGAGCCGATCAACGCCTTTCGCATTATCTGACCTGTTTATGCAGAAGGTGCCAATCAGTTACTGAACTGTGATATTTTATTGGTTGTCTCTTACAGAGCTGTCACTGGCTGCTGAAAGCTACAACAATCACACGGACAGCCAATAACTCAAGGACAGAATGCTGCTTGGACGAGTGTCCGTCAGAACAATCGCGGAAGGGACATTTCATAATGAACTGGCGTTCTGTTTATGTGATTTTGGTGTGAAAACAGTCCTTCTTCATGGATTCTACGCAGCATTGTCAGTAATTCAAAATACATTTATGCAAACAAAGCTCCGAATTTACTTTGAATTCCCATTGGTTAAAGGGACACTGTAGGCACCCAGACCACTTCAGTTCATTAAACTGGCCTGGGTGCAATGTCCCATGTCCCTTAACTCTACAATGGTAATTATTGCAGTTTCTAAGAAACTGCAATAATTACCTCTGATTGTTAACTCCACCTCTAGTGGCTGTCTACCAGACAGCCACAAGAAGGACTTTGCTTCCTGAATTGAAACAGACCTTCGGTCCGGTATCTGACGCTGGACGTCCTCACGCTCTGCATGAGTACTTCCGTCGTCAGATTTTTTTCCCCATAGGAAACCAGTGAATAATGCTTTCCAATGGGGAAATCCTAATGCGAGCACAATCATTGCCGCACTTGCGCATTAGGTCTCCCCTGACAGGTGAGGAGTGTGACAGAGATTGACCCAGCGCTGAGGGACATCAGCGCTGGATTCAGGTAAGCCACTGAAGGGGTTTTAACCCCTTTAGCGCTGCAGGAGTGGGAGCACGAAGGACGGGGGCACTGTATGTACCTATAGTGCCAAGAAAATGGCTTTGTTTTCCTGGCACCATAGAATCACTTTAATAACCCTGTCCATGTATGAAACAGATTACACAACGCAACATGAACGCTTTGTAAAATGCTAATCACAAGCCCAGCCAATCATCAGGCAGATAATACGTAAAGTAGGTTTCCCACCAGGATGGAGATTGACGACCTGTGCTTCAAGATGTACAATTGGAGTATCTGTCAGGATCAGTGTGGAACGTAAACGTGCGGACTATAACAAAATAAGTAGAATAGCCGTGTACCAGTCCTTTAAATGTACGTACTAATGATAGAGGAGTCAGAGAGAATGTCAAGGACAGGAGAGACATGGATAAACATTATAACAAGTCATGGTCACAGGATTACAGATATCAGGAGAAACGATTAAACAGACAAGTCAGATACCAGGAGAAGTATACACAAGCAACGCGCTCTTGGTCTACTAGAACTACAACAGGGCAACGTGGAGTTGGAGAGGTAAGCATAAATCGCTTAATTTGTATTGGTCCACATCATTTTGAAATTCCCTATGAGTAGTGGACTTAGAAATCCACATTAGAATAACTCTACATGTCATAATTATGCGCCAAATATAGTCTGGGGAATTCGCCATTAGGACTCTAATTCAGCTTCCCACATAACCTCCTGGGGACCCAGGTAGGACACACATGCTCGCTACAGTCGCGGACTCACCCAGGCCTGATGTTGCTGCTCCTGCTGTTGCAATTCATTCTCATCGACACATGGTCTGTCCAGATTAAACCACAAGGACTCTGTGACTTGTGGCAACAGTGACGGGAACAATGTGGACATTCTCTGTGGGTGAGAGGATATCAATTTACAAATAAACTATTGAGTGCAGTTTTTATATTCATTCAACTGACCAGAGCTAGATATCTGTCCAAGATCCAATAAATCACCTTGTATTCAGACGCAGAGGTCTAAACACAGATAATTCAGACACACAACGGAAATTCATACTTATGTAAGCACAACCGTTTTAATACATTGCCTCGATACATCAGGTTTTCACACAAACTGCCATTTAGTCACACCGGGCCACAAGCACCAATTCTTTTAACATATACCGATACCTGATATTGTGGTGAATGAAAGTGGTTTGATTTATAAACCAAATGTAAATAGTAGTAGAAATGCTAACTGGCTCAGCACAAGGAGAGTAAAGTAAAAAAAACTGCTTGCAAAGAGCAAATTCTATCAATTTCATTTTAAAAAAATTAACGAATTAGGAGAATACGAAGACCAGAGAATTTTAATATCTGGAAAGTCTCAGAAGATATTGTGATTATTAATGTTTCAAAGTCAAGGTGTGCCACAGGAAGTGAAGGGGGATTAGTCGGTTTTCCTTAGCCACCTATTTAAAACAAGGTAACGCTTTGTAATGAGCTTAAACCGCACGGAATCCATAATAAGGGATTAGATGGGAACCAAGGATCTGAGCGAATTCAAAGAGGCAGGGACAAACTCCCAGAGATATACACGTCTAATTTGATACAGACTGTGTTCTAACTTTAAGCATCACTCGAAGTAGAATAACCATCAAGGACCCTATCCTCACGGCCTAAAGATAAACACATTATTTTACTGTACGAATGGCTGCCAGACAGGTGGGAGGCAGAGGTCTCCAACCTCTCCTTCGTGCCTCACGTTTAGTCAATTGTCTAATCCTGCCGCTTCCATCTCAAAAACATGGCATCTATCCATCTCTATCGAACGCAAGATGAGCCCAAAGTGCTGGTCCAGGCGGTGTCCTCTCTCTCGCCTTGACTACAGCAATTCATGTCTTATAGGTCTTAACGTGTTCCCAACTTGCACCGTTACACTCAATAACGACCGAGGCGGCGAGGCAAATCTTCCTGTCGGCCTCTGTCAGTCCCTGCATTGGCTTCCCGTAAGATTTAGACCTGGTGCTTGCGAACAAAACGCTTCTCCTACCTACCTATCCTCACTGATAAACAAGTATGTCCCTGCCTAAGACCTACATCTATGCTCTGTCCGTATTCACACCACCTTCAAGACTTCTCTAAGTCTGCGCCGTTCCTATGGAACTCCCTTCCCTACTCCGTTAGACGCTCACCCAGTCTCAGTCCCTTCAAAAATAACTGAAAACTCACTTCTACAGGAAAACATATCAATTTAACTGTTAATAGCTTTCCCTCCCCTCACCGATTCTTGCCCTGTAACTGAGTCACCCAATAAAATAACCTTTCCCCATCCATGTAATACATCCTACTCTTACCTCCCCTTTAACCCCTTAAGGACACATGACATGTCATGAGTCCCTTTTATTCCAGAAGTTTGGTCCTTAAGGGGTTAACTATGCCCCCACCACCTCCCTGAGCTCCATTACCTGTCAATCATTCATATAACGTCTGTCACCCCCTCCCAGCTCCATTACCTGTCAATCATTCATATAACGGCTGTCACCCCCTCCCCCGGCTCCATTAACTGTCAATCATTCATATACCGTCTGTCACCCCCCTCCCTGAGCTCCATTACCTGTCAATCATTCATATACCGTCTGTCACCCCTCCCTGAGCTCCATTACCTGTCAATCATTCATATACCGTCTGTCACCCCCTCCCTGTGCTCCATTACCTGTCAATCATTCATATACCGTCTGTCACCCCCCCCTGGGCTCCATTACCTGTCAATCATTCATATA